GGAGGTGTATATGAGCCTACCGCCAGGATTTGAGAAGAAACTTGGCAGTAACAAAGTGTGCATATTACATAAGTTACTATATGGACTCAAACAGTCACCAAGAGCTTGGTTTGACCGCTTTGGAAAGACAGTTATCAGTTATAGCTTCTTGCAAAGTCAAGTTGATCACACAGTATTTTATAAACATTCAAAAGATGGTAAAGTTGCAATTTTGATTGTTTATGTTGATGATATTATTCTCACTGGTGATGATGAAACAAAATTAACTATTCTGAAGAAAAGACTAGCAAAGGAGTTCCAAATTAAGGACCTGGGAGCTCTTAAGTATTTCCTTGGAATGGAATTTGCAAGATCTAAGGCATATTGTCAATCAGAATAAAAAATGTTCTTTATCTCCTTGGAGAAACATGTCTACTTGGTTGTAAGATGGTTGAAACTCCGGTTGAGCCAAACTTGAAGTTACAAGCTGCTAAGGTTGAAGAAGTAAAGGACAGGGAACAATATCGGAGACTTGTAGGGAAGTTGATTTACTTGTCTCATACACGGCCTGATATTGCTTTTGTAGTTAGCATGGTAAGTCAATTCATGCACTCACCAGGGGCGGAGCATTTCGAGGCCGTCTATAGGATCTTAAGATATTTGAAAGGAACTCCAGGAAGAGGCTTATTGTTCAAGAAACATGGACATCTTCAAGTTGAAGTCTACCCAGACGCAGATTGGGCAGGAAGTGTTACAGACAAAAGATCAACGTTTGGATACTGTTCCTTTGTTGGAGGAAACCTAGTTACATGGCGGAGTAAAAAACAAAATGTGGTAGCTAGAAGTAGTGTTGAAGCAGAATTCAGAGTCGTTGCCCATGGAATCTGTGAGTCAATGTGGATAAAAAGGATTCTTGAAGAATTGAAGTTTTCTTACTCGACTCCAATGAAGGTCTATTGTGACAACAAAGCTGCTATTGCTATTGCTCATAATCCAGTTCTTCATGATCGCACGAAACATATAGAAGTGGATAAACATTTCATCAAGGAGAAAGCCAATGCAGGAATAATATGCATGACATATCTTCCAACTGATGAACAATTAGCTGATGTACTAACGAAGGGACTACACAAGAAGCAATTTGGTAATCTGACTAGCAAGCTGGCTATGGAAGATATCTTTAAACCAGCTTGAGGGGGAGTGTTGGAAATTTGGTCATTGAAAGCCTTGATTTAGTCATAATCTGTGTGATATTCTAGGATTTGTTTTCTATGTAAATCAAGAAAAAGTAGGAAAGTAGAAGCTGTCAAATATTGGCTCTAATTAGTTTCTTTTTTTGTTGTAATTTCCCTCTGTATAAAAGGAGCCTTGTACTCATTCAAGAAATAAGACACATTATTTCTTCATTCTTTTCTAATTTGAATCTCTCCCTACTAACGGTAAATCCATCAAACTAAAAAGTTGTACAAAGGATCTCAACAAATCCATAGCATGCCAATTCTGTGCAACTTCACATTTCTCCTCTGGAACCAAATAAGCATTGAATTCCCCTGCTATGCAACGGGCATATTCAAACTCTACCCAAAACATGTCAACTCCCTGAAAAACTCCTCTTTATCAGCCTCTACTGATGAACCGTACACATTAATAATAACACATTCAAAATTATTCATCTTAAACTTCCCTGATTATGCCAAAAATCTGCTCTGTTTATGTTCTGTACTGACCTCAAAAAAATTCTCATTCCACAAACAAATCAATCCATCTGCAGAACCATCAGCTGAAATAAAAGTACAACCTTTCAACAGATTGCCCCCCAACTTCCTCCTTGGTCCACTCTGACAGACCTTACGTTTTGTTTCCTGTAATAATAAAAGGAACGGCTTCTCTTTATTCACCAGTCTTGAAACTGCTCTAATTTTCTCTCTTCTCCCAAGACCCCTAACATTCCATGTAATAATCTTTAATCCTGTCATTTAAAATGGGTAACAATAAACACCAACATCAATCCAAAAAAATATAATCATAATCCCTTTTCAGACCCCTTCATCTGCATCTTGAAAATCTCTTCTTCTAAAATGTGTTGACCCCCTCTAAAAGTAATCCCCAACATGTCACATACCTCCCTAGTAGCAGCAGCTTCGATTCTAGCTTCAACAGACACTTGAGCAGACTGTGAAGAAGCCCTATTTTGATCCAAAGACTCCCTGACCATACTACTAAACACCCTTCTATAAACTCTATCATAAAAGCTTATAGAAACTTCACCCACCGAGCACACACTTCCCGAATGACAAGGTGCAATCCTTAACCTTCTCCGGTTAATTAAGCTTTTTGACTGAGGAGCCTTAACGATATTTTCTGATATAGCCAAACGATTATCCTCGGCTGAATTTTTGTCTCCCATAATTGTTCCAAAAGTATTCCCTTATGTGTTTATAGTTAAACTGACTCTTACATTCGAATTTGATAAGCTGCCCTCCTCCAGACTGCCCAAATTACTCCTTTTAACTGTCGTCTTCTTTGGATCACCCTTTTGAGCAGCAGAAACATTACCCTTCTCTAAGTCTTCTTGCATCTATGAGCCACTAGCAAGAACCCCTTGTAGACTTCTCTGACCAGCAGAATGATCTTGACCCAATTCAACATCTTGTTCTCCATATACCAATTCCTTCTCCCCTCCTGTATTTACTGTAGCCAACCTATTATCACCCTCCTCTGCATCTTTCATTGGTTTGGCTGGAGTGTAATTGGGCTGAAGTAAAACTTTCTGCCCAATGCATTTTATATTATAGGCAGGCCCAGAAGGACATAATTTCTTACTCGAAATAAAGGAAACCACATTATCATCAGACTGTGCTTTTTCATCCGAGTAAACTGTTTCTCTCAATCTCATACCCACGTGACTTCCATTTTTAAAAGTCCTATTTTCACCACTACCCGACAACCTACAATATTCTAATCCTGTTGTTGACTTGCTCGATGAAGAATGTCCCCCACTTACTCCATTTAAACCACTATTAAGACCATTATTTAACCAAGAGATGACTTTAAGTCTAGAATTCTCTACTGACACGTTTTTGTCTGCTGCCATAGTTGGAAACCGACCATCCTCCTCGTACAATGCGTATTCACTGTTCACCTTATTTAAAAATTTGTCATCCATCTTCCTCCCCAATTCTTCTGGTTGAATCTCCACTGACCCCTGAAAAATCTTAACTTGGAACGATCTGCCATAAGAGCCTAATGTAACCGTATCAGGAACATCAAATGGACTCTCCACCTTGAGCAAAACTTTTGCCGACGAGAGATCTGATCTATTTTTTTATTCATCCTTCAAACATATAAATCTACCCCAACTTCCCGTAAGTTTTTCCAAGAACGCTTCATTCCAGCACAGTAAAGGCAATCCACACATATCTATCTAGAACAGAGCCATTGGAACTCCATTCTGATTTAGAACTGGAGCCAACCAATCGAAACAGAAAAACAACTCATCCTTCTTATTCTCCCACACATATGAGAACTCATCAACCGAGTCAAAAGTGATGATGCAAGCCTTCCATGCATATCCCCATCTTGTTATCTGGACATCCAATCCCTCAATCTCCAAAGCTTCCTTTATTGAATCAAACTCAAAAAAAGATTTCATAATCCCTGTTAATGAACGTTTAACCCATTCTGAATTATCTGACGGAAGATGCATCTCCCAAACATTTCTCACACCATTCCTTTTTTGCTGGATACCCTCCAAATTTATCCCTGCCCCTGATTCTCTTCTCCTGTTAACATCAGACTTCACAACAGCCTTGTACGATCTGCCATCCCTGAAGCTTTTCATCAACTCATCATTCCTCCCATTATTTGCAGTATTCTGTTTTCCTGACTTGAACTCCAACTTCCTCTTCCCATCAGCAACAACCCTCCTATTAGCCTTCTGATACTTAGCAGCCTCTACAGAGATTCTTCTCCCATCAAACCACTTCCCATTCACAAACTAGATTGCTTTCTTCCTACTATCTTCATCAGCAAGTTGAACAAAAGAAAAAGTAGAAGACTTATAATTTGGTTTCTCTAAAAATCGAGGAATGAAAATTCTAATAATCGGACCATAAGGACTAAAAAAATCCTTTAACACACGTCTTGAAACCCTCTTGCTCAGATTGTCAATGAACACGGTCCAATCGTCATCGAAGACATTGGATTTTTTCAAATTTTCTCTAACTCTCTCTCTACCTATCTCACTCATTCTCTCTCTTAATTAAAATAAATTTATATTTAAATAAATGAGTTTATAAACGAACTAATAAACAAGTTTGTTTGTGAATATAAATGAACCGAACACACACATTTAAACTTGTTTTTTAATAAACGTACATAATTTTTGTTTGTACTCGTTTATTTAGCTTAATAAACAAGCACAAACAAACAATATACAAATGGTTCACGGTAGCCCGTCGAACGCTATGTTTATTTACAACCCTAGTGGAAACCAGTAAGTGCCTATAATTGCAACGACAGTTGCAATTCATTTCCCAATTTAGACTCGATATGTGTGATGTTAGCTACCATTCATGACCTGGCTTCTACTACTCTTGTTTGTTAAGTTTTTGCACCCCTCAATTCTTTTGCATTGAGATCGCTAGTAGTGTCTGACTCTCAAGATGAGTTGTTATGATCATAAATTATGGATTGAGTCATTAGACAAGTCATGGCTTTGATTGATAAACCTTATCAATCAATCCTACCTAGTGAAGAACCTATAATTAAATAATATATGGAACTCGTCAAAGGGGCTCCTAACCTTAGACTTGTTAGGAAGAGAGAATCTTAAACCTCTATAAATTGGAAGATTTAATATTATTTTATTACTAAGAATTATCCCCTAAAGGGTTTTATTCTTGTAGAATAAGAAACTATAATTAAGGAAACTATTGGACTTTTAATTGCAGTAAAATATATGCTAAATAGATTGTTCTAATTAGAAGTATTACTAACATAATCTTATTAGTCTTCTTTACCTTTTGGGCCTCTTTGACTTCAGTCTTTCCCACAAAGGCAACCGTAACACTTCACTACAAAATAGAAATGGTTATAACTTAATAGAGTGCCTTCTCTTTTCTAGGATTTAATATTTCAGCCAGAAATGACCGAGAAAGAAGACCAAAGATAATATGTTTTAAACAGCATGCCAACAAATTCTACATTGTTCATTGATCAGAAATGCTGAGTGTTCTATTTCGCACTAAGATTTATGTTATTCAATAACACTAAAAAGTTACAGATGCTGTGAAATTTCAGAAATTCAGCTAATGTTCATTAGTATAAGAAAAAATAGAAAAAGGAAGAGGAAAGAAGTCAGAGATCCCTGAGTTGCCCTTCATATCACAGGTCCAAAGTCTTCTATGGGTCATACAATGTACAGCTTACCTCTACATAACACTGAACTAAGAAAAACACCCACTGTGACAGATAAAGACACTGACTAGGGATGGTCAGCATGTCCTTTTCCCCCACTTCAAGCTCAATATTTAGTCATGTAGCCTCAAAACCACCTTACTGGTCGAAAGACCTCCCAGGCAAGCAGATTAACTTAATACCAGCAGACTGATGTAATTACAAGCATGATAAACCTAAAAACCTATTGTTGCTTAGAGTGACCTCAGGATTAAATCCTTCACCAAAAGCCGACTAAGAAAACAGACGGCAGCTAACAACTTTATTGCAGACCTAGGAGTCTGTAGAACTGACACTGCAACAATTACTCAATATAGAGTGTAGTGAAAAACAAAGAACCATATTAAGTACACTACCTACCAGTCAAGATCAAATACAAAAATTTAAGTTCATTTCCGGTCATCAGCACCCCCTCAGGATCACTTAAAAAAGACAGAAACAGGAATAACTACCCACCAAGACTCTACATGATGAAACTTGAAGAAAAGGGCCAACTAAAATAAAGAAGAATAACGGAATGATGAAAATGAGGAGTCAAAAATTACCATAGTTTTGAATCAATCATCCCCAGTAGGAAATAATGTAAGAACCTTCCTTCCACCATTCCCATTGGCAGATTCCAAATCTTCCACATAACTACTAGGAGCTTGATTATGCACGGGCGTCCCTCCAATCCTATGCATTGGCTGCTGTGTCTGCCTGCCTAAGAAGGGATGCTCAAATTGGCTATTTCGAGATGGCCCGTAATGCCCCATTTGTGGCCTATGATACTGAGACTGCAAATGAGGATGTCCTACCGCGGCTGCCACCATTTGCTGTTGTTGGTGATGATGGTGATGCTGCATGGCCGGCACTGGTACGGAGGGTAATAAATGTTCGGAATTAGTCCTACCAGGATGAAGAAAGTGTGGTGGAACCGGTGAGCTTGCAAACAAACGGTCCGTCGCTGGATCAGCCGAAGCCCCTAATCCGGCACCCCCAGATCCACCATTGGCACCGCCTCCACTACCACCAGATAAGCCTTGCACTCTCTTCAAATAGAGGCGATACTTCTGCAAATGACTAGCAACGTTTTCTCTCGTCAAGCCATCAACACTCATCAACTGCATTATAGTCTTGGGGACAGCGTTCTTGATCCCCAAATGAGCCACGGCGTCAACGAATCTCTTGTGGAGCTGTGGGGTCCACACGAGACGAGGCCGCTTGAGAGTGCGTGCCGGCTCATCTCCGGCTTCCCCGGATCCCAAGTCACCGGAATCGGCAGCGAATTCGGATAAGGATGGTTGAGAAGGAGGGGGCGGCTGTTGAAGCTGGGCATGGTCGGGGTTACGGATATCGAAGGCCAGAGCAAGATCAGGAGTAATTAGGGATTGGGAAAAAGGCATAAGCTCCTCTGGGGATGGCAGCTCTTCCTCCCATCTGGAGAACCAATTTGAGTCTTCTTCCCTCATAAATTATTCACAAATAACAAACCCAAAGGCTTCTTAACTCAGCTCACTGCACCAACAAAGAAAGATGATGGAATATCAGAATTTTACTTACATAAATCGCATGTAAGAAAGCGAAATCAGGTTGAGAGAGTAGGGAGGTTCGAGGTGGATCCTTGTTCTTCTTCTTTGCAGCTTTTATCCTTGTCTACTGTTTCAAATTCCATTTTTCTTTTTTTAAATTAAATAAAAGTTAAATTACATAAATGATCAATTTTTTTATTTTTCTCAAAAAATAATTCGGTCGATAATGTTTATCAAATTCATAATAAATTGATCACTGGTACCTATTGTTATTATGAATAATAGAATATTAATGTGGACATGAAATCAATTGACCTTATATTATGTTGATCAATTGTAAATTAATCCGAATTATATTATTTTCTATGTTATTTTGTAGCCCTTTCACCTATAAAATAGATTCGTCTCTATTAGTCGTAAACGTTTCCAGATCCTTTACAATGGCATACCTAATTAAATCTATCATTTAACCAAATATTGCATTAAACTTTGATCAAACCCATTTTGTGATTATTTTCTTGAACTCATATCGATGTTTCTAGTCGTTCTGATCATCATGAATGAAATGACTTGTTCCTCGTCATCTTCATTCCTCTTCGTATTTTTCTCAAACTTCTTCCTCAACCTCTTAACTTTGTACATCAGTTGAACTCTTAAAACATCATCGTTTATTAAATACTTAACAATATTATGAAGCATATCATAAATAGGTCAAGCTTTTTTTTATCAAGAAAGTTAGTTTAACATATCAAATCAATATTTTATTATTCTTAATAACGATAAATAACTTACTTGAAATCATATTATCAATCATCAAATCATTACTTTTTAAGTATTAGTACGGAAAAAATTACTCAAAGAATAATGAGATATAATTTACATTGAAATAAAACGGCAGTGAATATGGCGTCCAACACAATAATGAATAAATTACAGGTTAATTTATGAGAATAGTAGCTATTTTAAAATTAATGGCGAGTAGTAAAAAAAATAACCGTCATTATTAGAAAAATAGATTTAAGTGTTTGATAAAAATAGTTTGGATTATCAATTATTTTAAATTATGATAATCTACATAAATAATATTATTTATAATTTAATAACTATGTGCTGTAATATTTTTTGACCGAAAATAATGGTCAAACTTGAAACTTCAAGAAAGTAAAACAACTTTTCACCACTTGATTGTTCGAACAGATTTCAAACCTAATGTTTCTTTCATCTTATAGAATATAGATAACTTTTTTTTAAAATAACGAATATTAAAAATATTTTAATTAAAATTATAAAAATGATTTATTTAAAATATGAATATATTTAATAACTAGAAAATAAAAAAAAATCCCCAATTTTTTTTTATATAAAATTAAAAAAAAGTGAAACTATGGTGTCAATTAACTAATATCGACTCAAAGCCATATAAATGTAAAACAATGAAAAACAATCTTCCTTCTCTAAATCCCAAATCTATGACCAAAGTTCAAATATATATATATATGGTTGTCCCTTGTTCTCATATGTAATAGGGTAAGGGGAGGTAAGATAGTAGGCTGCCCCCAACACTAGATTGAGAGCAGCTTCCGTAAGAGACCTCCGAATTATAAAATGCCTTCCATGAGACTCGATCTCATGACCTCGAAGTTAAAAACCTTGTGCTCTACCAACTGAGCTAGATAAATGGTTGAGATTAATTTTTTTCTTATGAATATTTTTTTATATCTTACTGTTAATTTCACTTGATTATTTTCATAGAGAGTATAAAATGAATCCTAATCAATATATCATTAATCTAATTTAATGTTAGCCATTTGATTAATCAGTGTATCAATACCCTAACCCTAATAATCGTGTCATTGTTTCCAAATATCGAACCAGGTCAGGTCAGCCCTTTGAACATGTGTATGTAGTATGCGAGCTACTCTGTGGAGCAAGGTTACATATAAGATTAAAGAAAGTTGTCAAACATCATTGTTACACTTAACCAACGGTGTCTTCAAACAATGGTCCTAGCAAAGCAAATCAGCAAAATTAATAGAGTAAAACATAAAGACATCTCGTATAACCATTCTGCGAGTAATCAGAGCTCAGAGGCTGGTGAAAAATGCTGCCTGCATTGCAAAGATGAGATGGAATGAATGAATGAATGTTGAAAATAACTAATGCAGATAACCAAAATATCAGGCAAGGCCAAGCACACCAACAACCATACACGTAACATACTTATATGGTATCAACAAAACACAACAGCATAGGAACGCAAGGGATAAGACAGTACAACGGGAATAGTAATAAGTCTAGCATAATATATATAAAAGAAGTTGCATCATACCTGCGTTACAGAATGTCTAAAGTGATCATATGGATGAAAAAACATCATTGAAGCACTTGGCCACTGCATGTAAGCACCATCTCTAGAAGTTGGATTCAATCCCATATCACAAAAAGGGCTTACAGTTGGCCTTGCAGGGACGCCATAACTGAGGGGAGGTTGATTACTTGCAATCTGACTGAACTTGAGGAAAAGCAGAATCATACTGCATGAACGGATGTAGCATCTTCTGCATATCGTAAGGAGCCAAGCCAAAGCTCTAGTTACAAGGAATGCTTCTAAGGAGCCCAGCCAAAGCTCTAGTTACAAGGAATGCTTCTAAGGAGCCAAGCCAAAGCTCTAGTTACAAGGAATGCTTCTAACATATCTGCAATGGTTCAAAGTATTTTAGTTTAAAATTAAGAAAAAAGTCCAAAAAGAGGACCAAATTATTCTCATTTTTCATTCCACCCATTTTCATTCTTCACTCCTATAAGTATCATGTAATTATTATTATGAATGATCATAATAAGTATTTAGACCTTATCAGCATTCTACCTTATGAGAAAATGGGGATAACAGCTATTACAAACTTTTGATCAATTATGGAAATTGAAGAAACAACATTAGATAAGGCAGCAATCTCCCACCTTCGATAACTCCAATCATAATCTGGGTCAGACTGGTCCTTCTCTCTATCTCTGAAAATGGCTACCTGTGATGTACCATCCCGAACATAAATAACAGCCACGGAGCTCCTGTAGTTTTTATACTCATCTCGGATAGGAGACTCATTTTTTTTCCATCAATAGAAATCACAGAAGAATCATCAGAATCAGGGCTACTGAAAATGCGCACTGGACATCTTTTGATGCCAATTTGATTTGCTTCATTGACAGATCATTATTTGGCCTCGGCTTAATAGCAATTTTAATCTGCTCACTTTTATCATTTTCTGAGTGTTTCGCCGGAATTTCAGATAATCGGACAGCAAGGCATCTGATTTCACCTGCTCTCTTCGCCATAATTCTGCTTCCCAGGCCATCTAAACCATTATCATGAATCATAGTTATCAGCCCATAATGTTGAGCGACACGATGTGCAGCAAGCTGAAGGTAGGAAGAGGGAAAATGTTGGAATTCAAATTGCTGTCAGAATGTTGTAAAAACTTCTGGATATCAAGTTCCATCTGCAAAATTAAATCCCAGGAAACCATAGAAGAGACAATCAATCCACTACGAGAAAAAGGCCAACTCAAAAAAGATTTAAAATGATATTAAACACCACTGGAAAGAAGTATATTGAATAAAACTTAAACAAACCATAGGAAATAGTCATTTTCCCCCTTTTTACATTCCATATATATATATATATATGGATATGGTAGATTTGGAAGAAATGAGGGCACATTGATAAAATGGAAATGAACCCCTTGGTCCTGTAATTAAAATCAACTCGTTTGTTCAGTGGAAAAAAAAGTAAATATCAACGAAAATACACTGAACTGCATAATTCCATCTAGCATTTACTAGGTACACTAGCAGCAATCAAAAGTGAATCTAAAACACTCTTATTCTCAACCTGTTTCTCCTATGTTACAGATTTGATAAATTAATCATGTTGGACATTATTAATATCTATGCTCCAACATGAGGGGGTGTTACAGATTTGTAGGCTAAAACTCAGGATTAATATATTGTAATTAATGTAGTATAATATGTTACCTATTATAGGAGCTTTATACTTGTATATATACCCATAAGGTTGATAAATAATACACAAGAAAAAATTCTCCTACTATTCTACACCCTGCTTCTAAGGACTATTCCTCATAGCCTTTTTCTTGTTACATTCTATGATATGGGAAAAGGCAACATCCTATCTTGCATCCACTAGGTACACGGAGCATTCATAATGAATCTACCCCACTTCTTTTGAATGTTTCCCCTATTGCTATGTTTTTTCTTGTTACAACCAATGGTTTGGGACCTCAAGAATGCAAAACAGGAAAAAGCTCCATTATGACAATCGAATTATAAGCTACATGGAAAACTAATAAACCAGAAATCCAACTAAAATTTACATAAAAACCTATAATCTTTTCATCTTTTAAAAGTGCACAAAAACTAAGATTATGAACATAAAAGAACGGATTTTTCTCGAATTGTTATGTTTCTATGAACATATTATTTATTAAGCCTATACTTATAGAGACATGAGATGCTTAGTGTCTTTTATAAAACTCATGCCCAAAAATATCATAAACAAACAAAAACGTTAGCTACTTCAATTTTTACATTTTAGTTATATTTCCTAAACCATAGAAACCAAAATCGATAATTAAATTGCAAGATTTATACTCATCGCAAGCCAGGCAGAACATAAGTGACAATCAGGTTGCTATGAGTATCATTTTTCGTAAAGCAATAGCGTTAAAAACTCAAAATAGGCATGGGTGTTGATGTATAACCCTCCCTATGTGGCAAAACTGTACAATCAACACTCATTGCGAGATGAGCAGAGGGGCATAATTTTTTTTGGTTATACTCTGTGTCAGGGGAAATTATGTTTGTCTTGGTATTATTTGTCCCAAGGCAGTTTCGTTAACAACTCACAATAAACATGGGTATGGAAGTATGATTCTCAATAAATGAGAGAAAAAATGGCACACATTGTGTTGGGTATATATGTTCAACATTTGCACCCAAGTCCATAAAGCATAGTTTGCTCCTCCTTACCTATATATAATTATACATCACTAAAAACCTATATAATAAGCCAATTTCTTG